TTGAGGGAGGAGGAGGCACTTTATCTACTTAACAATTTACTTTAGCTAAAAGAACTGGTTTGGGGGGGATTTTTATTCAAAGAATATTTGAATACAGGACGGTACGGTGATGTAGCCGTTAGTAAATCTGCCTCAAATTTCTCAGTTTTGGGGGTTGGAAACTCAACTGCGGGTAGAACGGTTGTTCCGAAAGTGCTGCATAATTCCTTTGCGTCACGGGCGCGAGCCCGCTCTGTACCTTTTGACAGAGAGATTGAGAAAGGGGAATAAATTCCTTGACTGATGTTTTTAGCCTTCTTCTCTACTGTAATTGCAGATGTGAAGTGTCAGTGGAAAAGAAGATGCTATGTGAGGTAAATGGCTTCAAAGGGAGACAGAACACCCTACATTTCACCAGGTTGATTGATGGAAAAAAACACATGGTGGAAACTCAAAATTGAGGGACTGGCAGGTTAAGTGGCTTTCGTGGACGAAAAAGCTGACATTAGCTTGCAAGCAAGCCATTATCTATCCATCCATTTATGTAGCACTTATCCTTACTAGGGTCACTGGTGTGCTGGAGGCTATCCCAGCTGACGTTGTGCAAGAAACGGGATACACCCTGAAGACAACCCAACCAAATATTTTAGACAGACCTTTGAGAAAATGCTTTCATCACGCCCGATGATGGAAATTTGGTTTTATGTCCTTATGGGATGGCGACGATGTCACGAGGCATTGTTGGAATCTTCCCCGTTCTAATTATTTATGACACAAAGCCAATTATCCACCTCACGAAGAAATTCCACTGGACTCGTTTTGATTTTCAGTGGAAAAAAACTCGAACCCATTTTGGGGAAAATCAGATTTTGTCATCATGTAGCTAAGAAACAAACATAAACAGGAAGGTTAAAAGTGCAATGATGCATATTTGTTATAATTATCCTTCAAGCAGACGTGTCTTCTCCATTGATTCCACTTCAGGAACACAACACAATCTTGTTGTGAACCAAAAAAAAAGCCACCACATCAGATTTCTCCAAGCCTTGACTCGACCTTCGGCCCTTGAGGCTACCAACGATGGCGGGAAACAACAAGTCAGCATGAAGAAATGATGCATCCATCACTTTGACCCTGTTACATCATGCGTCGGCTGACATTTGGGACGTGCGCATTCAGACACCCACAGCCTTAGCATATAGTTGTAAAAGAAAGATGGCCAACAGGGTTTCAGTGATTATTGCTGGAATTATAAACCTGCCACTAGCCGGGCCTGATTACACTCCGTCCTCATCTTGATCCCACACATATCGATCACTTATTGATGCCACATCATTGCCACAAATTTCTACAAGCTAGAAATGGTAACTGAATGCCGTATGCTCAGGGCTCAGGTAATAAACAATCACGGCTCATGTGAAGTTCACAAGCGGAGTCGTGATTGGTCGTTAACTGAGCCCTGGGTACTTGAGATGCCATTTTCAGTCAACAGCAAGTGGCAAAATGGGTTTTTAAAAGTGTTAATTCTACATGAAAAATATGGAAGTTATCAAATTCATTCAAGACAAAACATGAACTTTTTACTCCTGAAAATTGCTAAATTAGTAAAGTAACATTTTAAATGCATCGTGGCATGTCATATCAATCACTGGATATCCCTGAAAATAGCGGCAGATGTGCAGGCGCAGTCGAAGGATGAATAACGCGATGCAATGTTACAAATGGCACATAATGAACTGGCACACGAAGCAATGCTCATTTATCACTGCACTTACTGCTTTTCAATTTGGGTCTATAATTTATGGCTCAAGAGTTTTTTGTTTTTTTTTACACAATTACTGTAATTAGGACTTAAGTACTATGTCAGTGTACGTTGGTGAAATATGGTGCATTATGAATATTATTATCATTATTATGTAAATCAGTTACACAGTGACAAGGATTGCAGCATGTTAACAGCATTAACATCATTGACAACATAATTGTCAATGATAAGGCTATATGGTGCGCTTAAAATCCTTTAGTTTTTGCAAAAAATCAACGGTGCGCCTTATAATCGGGAGCACATCATGTATTAATTCTGGTTGTGCTGCATCTGAGGAAAAATAACCAATCAGAGACAGAACGCTTGATTAATGATGTGCCAATCATTTAACGTGCACACTTGAGCACACTCCTATCGCAAAGCATGCACAGTGGGCAACACCCCCCGCAGCCTGGTGCTAATCTGTCAGTGTGGGCAATTTAATATCTATATCCATAAAATATTTAAAAATGCAGAGATTAACAAATAGCAGTAGAGCAAAGAAAAAAAAAATCAAAAGAAAGAATTGGACAGATACTGAGACAAAATGAAGTATAATGACAGCAACAGAAACGGATTAATATGAAAAATGAACCACAGAGGTTTGGTGTACAGCTGCCATATCTTCCGTTGCTTTCACTCAAGCACCTGAACAAACTTCCTGAACGGACTTTTCTCTGTCTTGCATGGAAACTTCAACACAGAAAAGTCTTGACTTTTCAGCCCGACTGTTTTTGGAATACAGTACCGGATTTATAATTTTCTGTAAACCGGACAAAAACACCAAAATGGAATAGCCTCAGGATGTTTTGATCTCTTTATAGATGAAGTGTGCAGGTTGCAGTCAGAAGCAGCGCCCGAGCCTTCGTGAATAAAAGCTTTGAAGTGTCAGATGAAGTACTTTCTCTCTCCGGCAATTTCGGATGTGTTGATGTGTCTCGACCACAGTGGAGCCCCCTATTACACTGGGTTTATTTCATCTATTAAACATTAGCTTCCTGTAACAAGAGAGATCATTGTCAGTATCGCACCTCCCCTCGTTTACAAGGCCAATATTGTTTCCGCTCATGCGCTATTGATTGGGGCAAAAGGGCTCTGACAAATCACTCCAATTTCGTTTCGTATTGACACCCACACTGCGCCTGAAGGAGGTTGGGAGGGGAAGCAGGGGCCAGGCTCAGCATTATCGCACCAATCTGGAAATCATGTTTTCCCATGTTTATCACAGAGCCGGGCGCCGTTGTCAGAGTGTGGGCACATTTTCGAGTGCAGCCTCGGCGAGTGACATTTAAACAAAAAGTCATAAAAGGTGTCACACGAGAGGCGACACAAATCTCTGTATCCACACACAAAGAAAGCACGCGACCCCCCGCGGCCATCCTCCTTGCACGCCATCACGTCAACACTTGGGCACACGTGCGCGGTCACATGTTCTTTCCCAACCTGGAATTGTACACACTCGCACACGCAAAGCACAAACACGTACGCAGCAAGCAATGAAGGGCCACTTGGGCCATATATGAAAGGATGGATTTGTTTACAGTTAGTCCAGTTAAGTTCTCTGTGAGGACTGGGAGGCTAAATATTAGCCATCCTAATGTGGCAACAACAAAGAAGAAGATAGCGACCGAAAGGACACCAATGGAATACATCTTTCTTCTTGACATGTGGCCCTGTATTACAACCAAAAAACAAGCTTTTTTGGTTGTTGTTTTCTTCCTACTCCGACTTCTTCCACCCTTTAGCAATATGTCCACTACTCTTGGTACCCCGACAGAAATTGGAGGTCACAGTCTTACAGTATGGTTTGTTTAGAAACTGAAACCAAAATTGCCCATTGGACATTGGACAGAGAATCATCACTTCGGTGCTACAATGGAATGTAAAGGCAAAATGGGAAGAAAATGAAAAAAAAAATTGTGATGGAGAAGGTTTGGCCTTTGTGGTGGGAGTTACATAAGACTCATTACATTATTGCTGAACAAAAAAACACATCGAATGTTGCCACAGGGTCAGCAAAAGGGTTTCGGCGTTTTGGCTAAGATAGCAGTCAGTGGAAAATAACATACATGTGAATACATCTTAAACGTTAAGGGGAAAAATGCACAAGTACTTCACAACCAAAATGGTGGACCAGTTTGTAACACTTTGGCATCAAATTGTACATTTACGACAGCACAACTATCTCCAGCAGTCACATAACTTTCAGATGCCATCATCTAAAGCAGAGGGACAATCATTTGCTGTGTAGGTCAATGGTGACATCGCCAACTAGTGGCGTGGCATGCATATTTCAGTGTTGCTTTATAGATCAGCTTTCTAAAATCCCATCAAAAAACAAGCATTTTCCCAAGGTCATTGATTTTGCCACATTCAAAATGTTCAAGGTCACTTTGGAGTACTAGAAGCAAGTTGGCAAAAGGTAGTGAGATTTTTTTTTTTAAATGTTTTGTTCTCCTTCACAATTTTTGACAAAAGTAAAACAAAGCCTAAATGAACCAAACTGAACTTCTTGGAGGCTGCTTTTGCTTGTAGAGGACGAGGGAAAAGAAAAGGGCCCGAATAAGCACAATGAGGGACATTAACAGGTTGCTTGGTTTCTTTTTCTTTTTTGCCTTCTGTCATCACAGCTTGGCTCATTATCGAACAACAAGCGTCTCAAAGGTGCCAACTTCTGTCACAATTACACTTTCCCCTCCAACTCTGGCTGATCCCCTCCCTATTAGCCCCACGGCTCTGGCCTTTCATCAACGTGTCAGGACAAGGAGCGCTGAGGAAGAGCACGAGGAAGAGAAGGGGTGAAAAGTGACAGAAAAGACACTCAAAGGAATCAAAAAGCTGACTTGACCGATTTTTGCGCTATGCAGCAGGACAGGTATCTTCACCTCAGCATTTAAGATGAGTTTAATCACTGATAAAAAAAAAAAGCTGGAGGATGACAAAGAGATGGTTTTACAAGGAGCGCAGGCAAGTGAGATAGGACGCCTCATCAAATATTAACACGGCGGTCCAGCAATGAATTTGTCACGTGCAAAACAAGGAAGCAAGTTGCTTTCCATGCAAAAGTAAAATGCTTCGGCAACTACAATGTCGAACCCACAAGATGAGACAACACAACTCCTGCTACCTGTTTCAGAGCATCGCAGCAGTAAACCCACAATCACTCATCAACAAAGAAGACGAAAGAAAGGAACCCAATGCTCCATGCCGTACTCACCCGTGAAAGTCACTTTTCCTTTCTGAATAACCACACCCGCTTACTTCTCCCTCTGCTTCTCCTTACCTCCCCCCAACCAATAACACCACCACTCTGCTAGCTCTATCTTTTGTCGATGCGCTCCCTCTCCTGAGCGCACATACTGCGAGCCTTGCATGCACCACCCGGGATGCTCCTTTTGGTTTCTATGGCAGCGGGATGCTGCGGTGTAAAATGGGGCTGGTGTGGGGGTGCGGGGATGGGAGGTGAGGGGGGGGGTAGGTCAGATCAGACCAATGAGACTGAGCATGCAGTGTTGGGTAGAGGGGGAGAAACAAAAAGCGAGTGACAATGCAGTAAAGCTGCCCAAGTTTGAGCTGCATGAATATCAATGGTGTGGTTGGGGCCGGGGCTTTCTCATGAATATCAAAGCAGGTAGGTGAATGATCCGACACATCCGAAGAGTTGTTTCATGGTCTACATTGAATGAAACCTGATTAGATGGGATCAAAAGGAGCTTTTTTAAATAGAATTGTTTTTTTGTTTTTGTTTTTTGTAATAAAATGGAAACCTTACTTTGTTGTGTAATACAAACAAAGATGCCTTATTATTATGATTAACTATGAGACTCGCCTGCAGTCCTGGCGGCAGTCATGCGACATATTGCAGCACAATCATGGAGAGAGAGCGAGAGAGAGAGAGAGAGAGAGAGAGAGAGAGAGAGAGAGAGAGAGAGAGAGAGAGAGAGAGAGAGAGGGAGGGGGAGAGAGAGAGAGAGAGAGAGAGAGAGAGGGGCGGGAGGGGTAGGAGGGGTGATTCCCCCGACCCTCCCATCCCTCTTTTGCCTTTCCCCCGCTCCCCCTCTCCTTCCAGTCTTCCCTCTATCTAGATTAGCATCACTTCCTCAGCAGCCTGTGGAGGATGAGACTGCATGTGTCCGCTGCGTCCCATTGCAGCAGAGACGACTAAATAAACACAAGTTAATTGCTTTTGAAATGTCGGAGAATTTTTGGGGGGTGGGGGTACCACTGGTGAGCATTCAACAAGGTGATTCAGATAAGGAGATAAGAAGCAGCTTTTCGAGAAACCTGACATCAACTGAATGCATTGGAATTGTGTATTTCTTATTTGTGGTTCAAAAGCAAAATAGCTAAAGTTAAAAAAAATAAAATAAAATAAAAATGTTAAAATCTTCCTATTAGCACATATTAAAATACTACCCCAAGAACTATTCAAGAACTTCAATTGAAACAGCGGTTGTAATGGGCCTTTCAAACATGTACACTAATAAGATCATGTGTGCAGGTTTTGTATACTGCAAGGATTTATGAAATAAAAGAAAAGAATAAGGCATGTTTTGCAATTGCCAACCAATGTCCCGTCTGACATGACACAACGCAGTTTCAGTAGTTTTATAATCCACAACCTCAAGATGCAATCTTGTACAAGAAGAGCAGATCTTGACTGTTGCATAGAACATGTGTAAATCATCGTCACATTGATGAACTATTCATTATATTCATTGCATGTACCCTTTGACAATAAGTGCGCCCAGACAGTATCTATCTAGGACAAATAAATAGCATCTTTGGTCCTGCCTACAATGAGCACAACAACTTTGGTTCAGTTTGGTGGTTGTGATGTGATACCACTTTTTGGGAATCGCGCTGTTGGGGGTATCTAGTGCAGCGGTGGTGTTCTGTGGTGAATTTCTTCGATGAGGAAATGGTCTGCCATGAGTGTTGTCTTCAGCAAGACACCGTTACCCTAAATTGCTAGCCAGGCGCTTAAGTAGGACCCTGCTGCTATGTGTGCCATTAACACTGTGTGTTTGCTGTGTCCTCAGATGTCATGTGTGCGTATTCATGAGAAATAAAGATGATGCTATCTTCTGTCATATGTGAAAAAGGAAAACCTCCTCCATTTTTTTATTGCAAACCGAACTACACTGCTTGGTGGAAACGAAAGTTGAGACTCATGGAAGCTTGGAAGGGTTTAGGGCACTAACCCAAAAAATTGTGATTTTTAAGTTGATTGCATGGTTCGAGTGATGAAATTGGCAGCAAATCTTTCCAAGTTAGCGTGAGCGGTTGTCAGGAAGTTCTCGATAGCGATAGTTGTGAGTTGTGTGTAATTAAGCAATATTGTTGCCACTGCTAAAGCAGGTGGCATTATTATTACTGCCAGCACTCTGGAGGGAGGAAAGGATTAGCACAGTAGTTGGAGGTTTTCCGAACTTCATCCCTGGAGCCAGAAGTTAACCTTCCCTGCACACGACTGATGGCAGTTCAGAGGCTCATCAGCAGTTAACAGTTTTGGAATGAGCAGTACGACAAAAGACCATTACATTACGCTGGAAGCAAACAAGGTACATTTTGAATCACATGGAGTGTTCAGCAAGCTATAAATATAATATGTTAGAGATATACTTTATAATAGAAATTGTGAATACAATATGGAAAAATGTCCAAGTTAACTGTCCAAACCAAACTTGACAAGATGAAGTGTTGTGCATTAAACATTAGCTTACTCGTGTCTTGTCACGTACAACGCATAGTCGTTTACCAGCTGTGTCTGTGGCATAGGTTCATGTCTGTTGCTTCCCGTGTTCAGTTAACCACACTACAGTGATCTCAAATAAGGACCATTTTAATGATGAAAAGAAATAAAGCCATTAAATCTGAACTGGGTGATACAGCGCGCACGTAATCCATCTAAATAATGACGTCGTCAGTGCAAACGTGTCTAACAATAACCTTTAAAGCAATCGGTTGGCTGACAGCAGTTGGCTCGGCATTGACGGGCTGAGGAGCTCAAGTGCTGACAAGTGCACGATGAACACATTGAGTACGAGCTGCGACTGTCAATATCCTCTGGTGAGTAGCAGGTGGTATTATTAACATTTCAAAGTCAGACGCGAGGTGTGAAAGAGGAATTAAAGGCCACATTTGTGTCTGACAAGTCCTTGTCAGGTTCAATTTACAAATGTGAATACTGTTACCAAAAAGTCACTTTCTGAAGAGACGTGTTAGTGGTTGTATTCATTTTTATCACATCAACAAAAGATCAACCATGTCACACTGTGACCTCAGTTATTGGAGGTGAGTCTCAAATGCATGAACGAACGAACGTTCCCCCTGATAAATTTTTGGTGAAATATTGGTCTCTAATTTAGTACCCAACACAACCCTGGCATGAGCCGCAGTCTAAATCTGTACAGTGGCGGTCTAGTTTCACAGACCCGTGCAAGCAGGAGCAGCATGGCATTTTGCACCATTGTGGGTGTGAACACAGCCGACTTGATTCGTCACCAATCCTCCTTTAATTGTCTTTCAATGTGGCGCACGAGAGGTGCGCTGATAGTCCTTGACACGACGGAAGAAGAAATTGATTTGCCCGTGTCCTACGGCATGGCGGGGCACGCAAAATACATTTATCAGGAATGAAAGCAGACCTCCATTGGCAGATGATATAAAATTGGCTGGGGAAACTTGGAGATCACGGTCCACTTTGATTGTAAGTGTCCGTAAGTGAGGTCAGGGGCAATCAAAGGGCTCCACGATGGAGATGGAGGAGTCTTTGTGGATTGATTGGACCCCCTGGGGCTGTGACCGTCCTGGATTCCTCGATCATCTCCTTTGTCTTAAGTCTTCTTATTTTTCCTTTGTTTAACTGCATATATGTTGGGTCTTTATGCATTAGTGTCATGAAAGTGCTCTAACAGATTTGGCGGACTCCATTTAAGTGGGTTAGCACAGTAGCTAGCAGCTATTTAGCCTAAAGTGAAAGTCAGCCTGTTTTTTTTCGTGTTGCCCAAATACTTTTAGTTGTCTACATCCATCTTGCTGCGAGGTCTGTGAGTTCTTCTCCAAGTTTCGTGGTGTTACTCTCTGGAGCCCTGTTCCTCCTGACGGATTCCGAGTTAGCTTGTATATCATGTTTTCTACGCAGTGCCGACTGAATCATTTATCAGGCAGCTGCCAAGACATGCTACTATCCCCGGCAAAGAGATCCTCACGAGAGCATGTGCTGCTATTGGGAAGTCAGTTCTAGATAGTGATAGCTGTTAGTTGTGTGTAAAAGAAATTAAAAAGATATATTTTATGGATCCCCAGATGGGAAATTAGTAAAGTAAAATTTATGTCCTGAAAGTGTGTGTGTATGGAGTTTGAAACTGTAACATCTTAATTTTGCCAAACTTCTTAATTTACTACTGTCTATCGATCTTTAAAAAATATCAACAATTAAATATGAACTATTTTTCAGTAAAAGAAGTGAGCTTCCAACCACAATGTTCGTCGAGCCTGTGCCCTACAATTGATTGCCGAGTGACCAGTCCAGGCTGTACGCAATTCAAAGCCAGCTGGGATAGGCTCCAGGTCATTCGCGACCACAGTGAGGACATGAGCGTGAATGAATGGATGAAAGCATGGATTGGGCATTTTTTGTCGTCGCGATGGAACTGTTTTCATTGTTGCAGAATGAAAAACTCATAATATATTTTTAAAAAATCATACTGTCATCATCTTTCATCTCCCTCCACGAACCAGCAATTGGCCAGCTCATGCCAAACTATGGGCAGATAAACAATCACAAATTGTCTCACCACTCTTGTTTTCACTTTCATTCACACTTGGTGGAGGTCTGCTCTCTAACCAGTACTCATTCACGATTTTAGCGTCTCATTAGCCAAGGCAATGAACATAACATCGATATTACAACTGCAATGCGCACCAGTCAGACATTGCAGTTGAACTTTGTGAGTAATGCGGCACTTCAACAGTGTAAATACTTATTTCTCCAAACAATTTGGACATCATGCATACTAGTGGTGCCATGGTTGGATACAGTGAGAGCTGAACAAGCTGCAGGGGACCTCAACCGTGATATTACATATGTTTTGCCATTTTCCCTTGAGCATAAGAAACTTCTGGAATGACTCCTACCAATCTTTTAATGGGTGTTGGCATTAAGAGACCAAGGTACATTGTCTGCCTGTTAGTTTTGTCATTGCGAAGTCTAGTTGAAGCGTGAACGCATCTTTGTACGCTTTCTTTCCTTATTCCCCTCGCATAAGCAATGGCGAAGGCAAGCTGCAGACAATGACTCGTAATGATGTTGAAAGAGGCCTCAGGGGCTGACTCACAAGCACTGCCACGGCGATTAGAAAAATAAGCATAGTCCCACCAGAGTAAACCAACATAGATCGAGCACGAACACAATCA